CAACCACTGAGCCACATCCTCAGCCCTATTTTGTATTTTCTTTAGAGACAGGGTCTCACTGAGTTGCTTAGGGCCTCGTTTTTGCAGAGGCTGGCTTTGAACTCGCAATTCTCCTGCCTTAGCCTCCCAAGTCACTGGGATTACAGGCATGTACCACCACACCCAGCTTATCTACCACATTTTCTTTATCCACTCATCTGTGAATCATACAATACATTAATAGAAAACTTAAGAAAGTGAGACTTAAAAAAAACTCTAAATAAACATTTTAATCTCTTCTTCCTATCCCCTATAAAGTTTCTTGTGTATCCTATAGGTGGAATCATTCATTTAAAGATGTCTGTTTACATAATACCTTTCTCAAAAGATACTTTTGAGGTACTACAAGTTGAAATAAGAAATTTGGATAAAAGAAAATTGCAAATAATAACCAAAATTAATCATGTAACCAAGTCAGATGCAGCAACACAAATCCAGTGCTGAGCCCATGGTTTATTTTTATGCACTTATAGTTGGAAATTTCCTAGTCACTATCCTTAAGAGGTACTATTCTAGAAAACAGAGGGGATACACACACACATACACACACACACACACACACACACACACACACACATACATTCCATCTTATTTATATTTAATCTCCAGTCCATTAGGCAAAATTATAAATGAATAATAGTACCCAATATTGGGGAAGATGAGAGAGAAATTGTTAGTGGGATTTTACATTCCTGAAAAGCATTCAACAATTTCCAAGCTTTAAATATTCTTAGCCTTTGTCTTATAAATTCTACTTCTAGGAATTGGCTATAGAAGTAGTCAACTAAGAGTATGAGACCTCCGTGCAATGAAATATCCATTGGAATGTGCAAATATAGGACATGATCCAACTGGTAATCAATAGAGGGCTATGTGAATAAAGTATAGGGTAACTCTACAATAGAATTCTATGAAGCTGTTAAATAGAACAAAATAAGCTACATGTGTTTACAAAGAAAGACATAGTGAAGAATGAATACAAGCTTAATACATGGAAAATGATCTTATATCTGTAAAAATGCAATGTTTATACATATGATTTATATTTATGATCAATAAAAGTGTTTGTAAGCATATAAAAACATCTACCATAATTGAAACTAATTTGTTCATGGGGATTATCTATGATGTGTATTTCCTTAATATTTGAATTTTACAATCAACTTACTACCATAGGAAGGAACAAAAACCAACGAATATTTTTATAAACAGAATTTATCCTTCTAAGTCACTCAAATCACTCAACTTTATTCTTTTTTTGGGTGGGGGACAGTATAAGAGATTTAACTCAGGGGCACTCAACCACTGAGCCACATCCCCAGACCAGTTTTGTATTTTATTAGAGACAGAGTCTCACTGAGTTGTTTAGCGCCTCACCAAGTTGCTAAGGCTGGCTTTGAACTCAAGATCCTCCTGCCTCAGCCTCCTGAGCTTCTTGGGATTACAGGCATGCACCACTACACACGACACTCAACTTTATTCTTGCCGGCATTATGGCATGTATCCTGTTATACTTCAAGATGTGTAAGTGAAAGATAGTAGGCACAGGGTTGCATTTTCCCCTACATTCTTGGTTCCTTATATAATTAAGAGTATTAGGAGGATCAGTAGTATCCAAGAAAATTGATATTTATCCACAAGGACCCATACAAGATAAATTACCTGCTGAATTGTGTTGATGATAATGAATAAGCTTTGGTATGGAATCAAAACAGTAGTTTTCTGCCAGGTATAATTTATTTTCAGCATTTGTATGCACATGGTAATGTTTGACAGTTCCTTTTTTATCACTAGTAAGGAAAAAAGATTGTTACAACACTTCAAACAAACAATTGAGGCTTGATTAAATGGTGGTTAAATAATTATTTTGGATGCATTTGCAAATTTTGGAGAGGAAGTCAGGGTGGGTTTCTCAGTCCTGACATCTGGTGTTTTTCCAAAGGTATTCATGACAGTAATTATGGAAGAGGGCTGCTCTCTGAACTCAATGTATCCTTTGTACACATACAAAATTCATGACTAATTAAATTCCAACTTTCCAGACTGTTCTTCCCATAGTAAATATAAAAATAGAATATTTCTTTGATCATTAAGAGCCTTGCAGTTCTTTAGGGTCATTTCTGAGCATAAATTCTCTTTCAGGATAATAATAGAAATGAAAATCCGGGAGACAAAGATGATTAGGTTGTGGGTCTTCTCACCCCAGAGCATGGATGGGAGATTATTTTGGGAGTAAGGCACATAGGATGGAGTAGGTGGAGATGTCCCTTAATTCCTCATATAAACTAATACCTTTTCTTTTTTATATATATATTTATTCTGCTCTGATGGACTGAAGGGAAGAAAGTCTAACAGTCATCCTTATCCAACAAGCCCTGATTCTTTTTTGTTGTTATTAATTTTTAATTGTAGGCGGATACAATACCTTTATTTTATTTATATGTGGTGCTGAGGATTGAACCCAGTGCCCAATGCTTACGAGGCAAGTGCAGTGCTCTACCACTGAGCTACAATCCCAGTACCTTTTCTATATAAAACATTTTTTTCTTTTTCTCTTCTTTTAGAAATCATAGATAATTGATGCACATTGATTTAGGCTAATCAGGAATAATATGATTGTCTTAGATTTTAGAGTATGGCATTGTGGTCAAGTACCAGGTTATTAATCTGGTTCTAACACTTGCTAGCTACTTCCTCTAGTTGTTATCTAGTGTTGGATGAGGTTGTGTGTGTGTGTGTGTGTGTGTGTGTATGACCCACAAGAAGCAGTTAATGAGTTATTGCTGTTAGAATGCCAACCTATTTAAAATTGCAATTATAAAAAGGAGAAAAGGGTGCTCCTTTTTGTTGCAAGTGACTAATCTGGTCTTGGTGTCAGTGTGAAATTCCCTCAAGTGCACTGACAAGGTTTCATAAAGGAAGGCTTCTATATTCATGGATCATGATTATTTTCATTTGATTTCTTATCTATTTGCTAATTTGTCTACCTGGCCCCCTTCAAAAATGAATCTGGAGTTCAGAAGCTTGATTAGGAGAACATCTGATATTAGATTTGGCCCAAACTGCCAGGCCAGAGGGCCACAGAGGTCACTCAGTGAACACAGTCTTCTCCCACTTCTAACTAGCTGCATTGGTTTTAGTTGACATCTGTGTGCATCCTAGTATAGGAGCTACACTGCGGATATGACTTCTGGCATTGGAAAACGCCATGTGGCCACTCAGGATACACCCTATTATCTCAATTGGACATAAGTACTCTGTAAAAAAAAAAATTCTCAAAATACTTTTTATCACTTTATTATCATAAATACACAGGTAAGCACTGTGGAGTAGAGCACCTAGGAAAAGCACCGAGGCCAATGGTCATTCAATTCAGCTGTTAAAAAAGGATTCCACACTTGGGTTGGGGTTGTGGCTCAGAGGTAGAGCGCTTACCTAGCATTCATGAGGCACTGGATTCGATCCTCATTAGCAAAGCTTACTTAAAACTGAACACTGGGGTAGCTTTCTGAGCTCAGCAGGTGGCTAGGGCTAAGAGTGTGGGGCTGCCATTGTGTATTTTTTTCTTTCTAAGCTTAGGCCTGACCTAAAGGCAATCACCCATGAACCTCTTTTTTTTTTTAATTGGTTCTTTTTAGTTATACATGACAATATAATTTATTTTGACATCATTATAGACACATGAAATATAATTTGTTCTAATTCAGTCACCACCTCTGAGTCTTTTAATAAACATTTACTGAGGCATGTTGTTCTCTGGGCACTCTGCCATTGTCTAGGGTGGGATGGAGGAGGTCACTCAGAGAACAGTCTCTTGAAAGTGGGGTAAAAAGTCAACAACAGGGCTGGGGTGGTGGCTCAGTGGTAGAGTGCTTGCACTCTATGTGAGGCATTGGGTTTGATTCTCAGCACCACATAAAAATAAACAAAATAAAGGTCCTTCTTCAACTAAAAAATATTTAAATAAAAAAAAAGACAACTACAAATGGTCACATTCAATAAAAATACTTTGACCCCAAATTTCAGAATTTATAGATGGTGTCTTACCTTAAAATGTGACAAAGTGATCAGCCTATTCAAAGAACATATGCAGAAGGATAAGAGAAATAAATCTATATCATACTTACTTCACAGCCTTACTAAATAAGGACACCGTGTACATTCCCACCTGGCTGGAATTTCTAACCATAAATGCACCTTCTTTTCCCTGAAAAGGAAGGATTATTTTTATAGGTTTTTTTTTTTTGTGTGTGTGTGTGTGTGTGTGTGGTGCCTTGTGCATGCGAGGCAAGCACTCTACCAACTGAGCTACATCCCCAGCCTCCCCTTTCTTGACAATGATTTTTCACATAAGCAGTAGGAAAAGAAATCTTTTAGATTCACTTTAAATGTCACTGAGGGTCCAGATTATCCAATAGTTAGCATAGAAGGGGTCCTACAGTTTTACTTTCCTACTTTTCTCAATATCTTTTTTTTTTTTTTCCTTTTTCTGTACTGAGGTTGGAACCCAGGGCCTTGCACATGGTAGGCCAGTGTGATAATACTCAATATCTTTTTTTTTTTAAAAGACAAAGAGAGATGTAATAGGGAATACTTCTGAGCCACAGCCACAGCCCCCCCACTCAATATCTTTAAAAATCTATTCGGTGTGTTTCAACTCTTTCTCTCCAGTTAATTTTTAACTCTATCTGCTTTTTTTTTCTTCATACTTATGCAAGCCTAATGTTTTTATGCTTACAAAATAAAATTTAGAACCACATATCACCATGTATGTCCTTGGAAAGTTTTAGAAAACCAAAGAGGCATGCAGAATAAATCATTGTTAAAGTTTTACATCTGACTTGTCTTTCTCAATGACTTGTGCTAATTGTAAACAGATCCAGATTCAGAAAAAGCAGATGATAAACTACAAATGTGACAAAGCACCAAGTGAAGTCATCAGATTCTCACAAGTACCTCTCAAAGAAATATTTGGTATATTCACTATTTTATTAGGTTAAATTATATCAAAGTATCATTTTTATAGATAAAAGAGGTTGCTATTGGTAATTCCATATCAATTGGTGATAAAATCAGATAAATGTATTCCCTATTACATCTGCTGTAATAGGGAATTTAGATGCTAATGAGTGGTGACAGACCTGAAGTAAATGGTTACACTGATGGTCCTCAATAAATCATTTCTCTTGCGCTGGGTGTGTAGCTCAGTGGTAGAGCACTTGCCTAGCATTCATAAGGCTCAGGGTCCTATCCTCTGTACTGCAAAAATCAGACAAAAAAAAAATAAATCATCTCTCTTATTCATGGTCCTGTGCAGTATCTTCCTACATTGACTTTGGGCAGGACATCAAGAAACATGACAATAGCAGCAACTTCATAAGTGCTTGCACTGTGTCCTGTTTTACCACTGCCGTTCTGTGGGGAGGCCCAGGTTGGGCACATGGAGAGGAGGAACTATGGTGCCTCAGTTGACTGCCTCAGCTGAATTCCACCCCCAGTCAATTCACCAATTAAATGCAGTCACAAGAGTGAGCCTACGTAAAATGTGCATCTGGGCCAGCTGACTCAGAACTGTGAGGAATCAAAAATCTTGTTTCAAGCCACCAAAATTTGGGGTAGTTTATTGTGCAGCAATAGAAAATGGAAGAGAAAATATGGTTGGACATCAAGGGCCTGGTAACCCAAAGTCTGGACAACCAACATATGATGAGTTGACTATATACTTAGCAATATTTCTATGAAAATTGGATTAACCTCTGGGCCCACTAATACAAAGAAATTTCTAGACTGAGAATGTAGCTCAGTGATAGAGTGTGTACTTAGATGCATGAGGCCTGGTGCAATAAGTAAATAAATAGTTTTTAAAAAGAGAAAGAGATTTTAGGGGCTATTTTAAAGAATACCACTTACCTTTTGTCTCAGTAATTGCTCAGATTGTGACCTGGAGATGTTACCTGCAAACCAACTGTAAGAGGAAAGGATTTCATATTTGAGAATTAATAATTTTTAAATTGCATCACTTGCATTCAAATTTTTTAAATAAAATGAGGCATTGGCCCACATCAGGGGTTTTAAAACCTGACTCCTCAAAAGAATCACCAGAAGATATTTTCAAAAATATAGATCCTTGAAAAAAAATATATAGATCCCTGAGACTCTACTACCCAATTCTGATTCTAGGGCAGAGCCTGAACATCTGAAGTTTTAAATGGGCTGGTGTTCAGGAACCTCTGGCTTCCTTCTAGGTGACCTGTTTTGTAAGTTATCCTTCATGTCACCATTTGGCAAGAGGGCCAGAGATTATACCAATGAAGACTCTTCTAATATAAAATTCAGAATTGCCAAGGATAAATGCTCATGTCTTTCAACTCCATCATTTTCTTTTAATGATCTGAAAGAAACACGCTATATATCATCTATGGTCAAAGCAAATGCTTTTTTAAAATTTAAAAAAAAATTTCAGGATAGCTATAGATAAGCATCTAAGATTATATTAGGACTGGTTTAGTGAGATGGAACTGAGAAAAAGATGATATAGGGAAGACAGGAGTAGTTCTTTTCTTTGAAAATAACCTTTAAATATCATCCTTTTTACTAAGTTAGCCAAGAACATCATGTCCTACATTGTATACAGAGCTCAACAGGCAAAGAGCTGTTTCTCATGTGGAGTCAACAATGTCTATGGCCTTTGGCTTTGTACTAATAACAATGTACTAATAACAAACTGAGTAGAGTATGATGTGGGATGGGGTGTAGGTTTGAAGGATTGAGAGGACCCCCTGGCTACAGCAGGGTATCTGAGGCAGAAAGAAGTACGTGAGGAGGATGGGAGTGAGTGGGAAGGGTTGTGTTGGCCCTTCTCAGTCTTGCATGTCTTAATATAAATTATGCTACCAGATGCTTTCCTGAGGATAGATATGAGGGCAGAAAGTGGGGCTAAAAGAGAGCTGGAATGTGGGGAAGAGATCATACTGCAAAGGGATAGACATTATAGCACATCTACCCTGGCGCGACAGGCACACCCAGGACCAGGCTGGATTAGAGTTTAAGAGGAAGAGTTCAAACAGTGACATATACTTTGTAAAAGCTCTTGCTTTCACGTGTAACCAATGAATCAATGACAACCCTCATATGAAAACAGAACTAGAAATATGCATAGTCTAGTGTCCACACAAAGTTTATAATTTGGGGCATAAAGTGCGTAAAAAATGCAATATGCTCTATTACTCCCATCTTTCCTTAACATCAATCTTTATTGTTTAGAGAACAATCATATGTTGCTATTTGTAGAATGCTAGAACCCTATTTTTTGGAGAGAACCTTAATGGCCACTTAAATCAATGAAACTCAATATAATTAGGATGGCTACACTTTCTTATTTGCCTAGAATAATCCAGTTTATGCCAGATGTTTAGTGAAATTTTTCTCTCTCTAAAGCATTTCAATTTTGGTACTAAATGATAAGGTCACCCTGATAATAGGAATCTCTCATCAGAAATGCTGCCATGTTCAAGTTCTCAGGATGCTGCTACCTTGAAAAATCACCGATTCAACGTTAATAAGGCCTGAAGAAAGGCCTTTCAGGGAAAAAAATGAACAGAAACATCATATGCTCTATTTATAAAGACCAAGTGAAATGAAGGGGAACACTGGATAATGACAAATCCAGTGAAAATGTGCAGCCAATTTAGAAAGCCTAGATTGGGGGAAATATCATCATTGATAATAATCTAGCTCATTGCCACCTGTCATTTAGAACCCACATGAGCTTACCCATGTAAACACAGCCTCCTGAGAAAGTCTGAGCCATCTGTTTTAATGCCTTTGAGGAATCAAATGGAAACATCTATGCCTAATCTTAGAGGAGCACAGAAGACTTTCAATACTCACTCATAATCATCCAGGTTTTCTTCTTCTTCAGATGAACTTGACTCAGGGAACCCCCTTAACAAGAGTCAAGGAACAACATGAATGAAAAAAATCATCATGAAACAATCAAAGTGCCAGTAATACAATATTAGACCCCACTCTTCTTCAGTCCACATAAATAAAATCTAGACTGTTAAGGATTCATTTTTGCACTAAGGAAGGTATCAGCAAAGTGAAGAGACAGTCACTCAAAAGTTGGGCTTATGCTCAGTTTAGTGATAAAATGGCTCTTTAGTGCAGAAAGCCCCCTAGGAATATAGATGTCTTTCATTCTCTCCTTTTTTTCTGATACTGGGGATTGAACTCAGAGGCACTTGACCCCTGAGCCACATCCCCAGCCCTTATTTTGTATTTTATTTAGAGACAGAATTTCACTGAGTTGTTTAGCACCTCACTTTTGCTGAGGCTGGCTTTGAACTCACAATCCTCCTATCTCAGCCTTCTGATATAGGTCAGATGGTAGAGTGCTTGCCTCACAGGCACAAGGCCTTGGGTTCAATCCCCACCACAGAAAAAAAAATTCTCTCCTTTTTAAACTATAATTATTAGTAAAAATTAATTGTACAAATTCAAATGCATGGGTTTCATTGTGATATTTCCATATAACATGCTTTGATTTTTTTCAAAATAGTGGGCTCAAGAAATACATCCCCTTCAGGGGATAATATGAAGTTAAAAACAATTTGGGCTGCGTATTGAGCTATTCTTAGGGAAGAGTAAATCAATTCCAGGTTGGTTTCCCTCCTGCTAGAGATGCCTGAATCAGCTAGATTAATGTTCATGCTAACACCAGAGTATGTCATGAAGATTGGCTAGGAGAAATCAGTGTGAGAACTGTAACCCACAAACCATGGATTCAGACCCACTTAAGGGTTCAAAGAGACAAACTACATGGACATTTCTGGTTTATCTTCACCTTATACGTAAAGCCTAGTTGCAAAATCATTGCAAATTTGGTTAGCTTTCCTACAAATGGAAGCCAATCCTGGATATAAATTAATATCTACATTAGATTTACCATGATATCTTTGAGGTGCTGTGATTTACAATATTTCTTTCCATCTGATAACTGCATGCAACATCTTCACTGCTGCAAGAGATGTTTCATAAGTTTATAAATTTATGCATACTTATACATCTTAAATGACAAAAGTAATTCTGTTCAAATATGATTTAGCTTTACTTGACATTTAGACCCACACATTTCATTTGGTTTGGAAATTTAAGCTAACTAATTACTTTCCCAGTGGTCTTTTCAGGGACTTCAATAAGAAGCCGTAGCTTGGCAATGTGCCTATATAATAATGGCTTATAATGACCCCAAATAATAACAAACCTGGATTAATAAATCATTTGACCTAGGTTTGCTCTGATTTTCTTATGGATATGTAAGCATTCTGTCACTTATATGTTTAAAATAAGCTATTCTCTTCTTTGTTGTCATGATTATAAACAAAAGTCTTCAAAATGCTAAACTGTGAATTCTATGTGGACATAAATGGATAAACAGGATTTTCATCCTCTACCACCCATCATTTTATCTCTTCAATTTGGGTGTTAAGAGACTGAGGAAGTGCCTTCTTCCCAAAGCCCCAACACTGTTTTATCTGGAATGTAGAACCTATTTCCTGTTTGCTTTCATAGACCAGGCTCTTTTTCAAAACCACACTTCATTGGCAAGGAAATGCTCTTCTGGCTCCATCTCAAAGAATGTCTAGAGAAAGCCCTTAAACACTGCAATGCCTCCCTCCCACCTTCCCACAGAACCTGGCCCACCAGAATGACCTTTCAGCTTTAACTCTTCATAAGAAAAGTCTTCATTTAAAAAGGCTAGGCAGGGCTGGGGTTGTGGCTCAGTAGTAGAGTGCTCGCCTAGCACCCATGAGGCACTGGGTTCAATCCTCAGCACCACATAAAAATGAAATAAAGATATTGTGTGTCCACCTACAACTAAAAAGTAAATATAAATAAAAAACTATAAAGAGTAAGCAATTTATTTAGCCTTCTTGTTTTGAAGAGTTTATGTAAAGTAGCAATCAATAGTACATCACTTTGGTTTATCCATATAAAGGAGTACTTTATAGACATTAAAAATAATCAGGTAGATTTCACAACAATGTGAATGTACTTAACACTACTGAACTATGCATGTAAAAAATGACTGATTGTGATAAATGTATATTAAAAATTGAAATAAAATTTAAAAATTAAGTATATCTTCATGTGTTCAGATGGGAAAAAAAATGTCAGATGTCAAGTGAAAAGAACAAAGGGCAGGGGCTAGGGTTGTGGATCAGTGGCAGAGCACTTGCCTAGCATGTGTGAGGCACTAGGTTCGATGCTCAGCACCACATATAAATAAATAAATAAAATAAACGTATTGTGTCCATCTACAATTAAAAAAATATTTTTTTAAAAAAGAACAAAGGGCAAAGAAGACTGAGCAATGGGAATCTGCTTTGGTTAAAATATATATATATATACACACATATTTTTAAATATATATAATAATTATAAGATATATATATTTTAGCATGTACACAGAAAACATTTAGAGGAATATACATTTGAATTTTAAAAATTCAAGCTCCATGAAGACCTTTTAACAAGTATTCAAGTATTCTAATTCACTCATAGATGTAATGTAGCTCATGCTAAGATGTGAGTGACCAATCCTTTGTATAAAAAATTAGCTTTCTGAAGGTCTAGGGCAAATCCAGGGTCAGAATTAAAGGTGGTTCAAAATGTAAGGGTACATGTCAAAAACTTAGTATTCAAGATAAATAGCTCTTTATTGAAATATTAATTAATGCTAAAAAAAACTTTGAACAAAATATCAACTTTTGAAATGAAGATAGGATCTGGCAATTTATGAAAATGTGAAAATTGTACAGTCATTTTCACCACACACCTCCCTCAGGAAATCACTGGGCCTTCTATCAGGGAGGTGACCTGGAAAAACTTAACCTGACATTCACTGTCCTTGGATCTGGGCTTGTTGATCATCTGCTTCTATAGGAACATTGAGCTACAAGCAAATAAATGCAGCCTTTTCCCTCAGGTACCAGGTATGGATTAATACACTTGGATACTAGTTCCACTTGAAAATGAAAGGGACCACAGCTTATTATATTTAAAAAACAAAACAAAACAACAACAACAAACTAGAAGAATCCACTTACAGGTTTTCAAATTCCATATGGCCTTGGGGCTGTATCATTGGTACAGTGAGGCATTTGCTTTAGATAAAAAATAATGAGCATGGAAAGAATAGAGGAATAAGAAGACAAGGGATAAAACAAAGAGACAAAGATAAGTCAGAGAGATGATCTGCATCATTGTGGGGAAAGACAGACATGGGTACCCTGTATGGAGGCTCACAACTGGATGAAAAGATGGCAGACAGTGGGCAATGTGGTGGGGAGGAAGTCTGAGGCAGCAAATAAGAAAGGGAAGTCATGGCTAGGTGTGGTGGTGCATGCCTGTGATTCCAGCAGCTTGGGAGGCTGAGACAGGAGAATTACAAGTTCAAAGCCAGCCTCAGCAAAAGTGAGGTGCTAAGCAACTGAGTTGACACCCTGTCTCTAAATAAAATACAAAATAGGGCTGGGGATGGGGCTCAGTGGTCAAGTGCCCCTGAGTACTAAAAAAAATAAAATAAATTTTTGTAAAGTTTCTTTAAAAACAAAAACAAGAACTTCCGGACCCGGAGGCTTAAACATGGATGTGCACCCGACGAACTTCCGGATCCTGGGCCTTAAACATGAACGTGCGCCTGAGGAACTTCCAGATTCAGGGGCCTAAACATGGACGTGCATCTGACAAACTTCCGGATCCTGGGGCTTAAAAATGGACTTGCGCCCGAGGAACTTCTGGATCTAGGGTCCTAAACATGGACATGCACCCGAGGAACTTCCGGATCTGGTGGCCTAAACATGGACGCCTGAAGCGCTTCCGGATTCAGGGGCTTAAACATGGACGTACGCCTGAGGAACTTCCAGATCTGAGGGCCCAAAGATAGATGTGTACCAGAGGAACTTCTGGATCCGGGGGCCTAAACATGGACGCCTGAGGAACTTCTGAATCCTAGAGTCTCAACATGGACATGCACCAAAGGAACTTCCAGATCCTAGAGCCTAAACATGGATGCCTGAGGAACTTCTGGACCCAGGGGGCTTAAACATGGACGTGCACCCAAGGAACTTCCAGATCCAGAACCTAAACATGGACATGCACCAGAGGAGCCTCTGGATCTGTGGGCCTAAATATGGACACCTGAGGAACTTCCGGATCCTAGAGCCTAAACATGGACATGCACCTGAGGCATTTCCGGATGCAAAGGCCTAAACATGGACGTGCACCTGAGGAACTTCCGGATCCAGGTGCCTAAATATGGACGTGCACCCATTGAACTTCCGGATCCTGGGGCTTAAATATGGACATGCGCCTGAGGTCTGGGGGCCTAAACATGGATGCCTGAGGAACTTCCAGATCTGAGGGCCTAAACATGGATGGGTCTCTGAAACTTCTAGGTCCTTGTACCTATAAAGGGCAGGGCGTGACTCTCAGAAGGGACATGGCCCATGAAGGGGAGCCGAATATGGGGCCTGTTGGGAGGCAGACTGAGCTGTCACACCCTGAACTTGAATGTGACGGTGGCCTCACTTCCCAGCCTTCCCCTGGGTGTCACTTCCTCCCCTTCCAGGCAGTGCCGGGGAGGAAGTAAGACCAGGGGCAGGGGCCAGACCCTGAGGAGGGACACCTTCTTTCTCCTCGCTTAGCCAGGTGCCCGGCCTGGCTGGGGATGGGGACATCTTGTGACACTGGCTGCCTCCTGCATCCTTGCCCCAGGACCTCAGGGACCACAGGCGGAGACAGTCATTGATTCTCCCCTGGCTGCTGACCCTCAGCCCCGGGGTCTGCCCAGGGAGAGCTCTGTCTCCCAGAGGGTCAGGGGGCCCCTGTGACCTGCTGCTCCTTACCCACCATCATCCTGGGCAAGCACAGGTCAGGACACCAGACACTACTGAGAGTGACATCTCCTGGATGGGCGGCTGGGGACTTTGCCTCTGTCCCCACTAGATGATCCCCCCAGAGACAGAAAATAACCCCACACTGACCAAGACTTATTTTTAAGCTTTGGATTCTGAAATTTTCCCGCTGCCACCTTCTTTGTGAAGCCAATTTTTCAACAAGACAATATTCCAGGGGGTGGGGGGCAGGGAAAGAAACATGGAGTCATTCAAACCAAGCTGACACATCTGGTCCTCCAAGAGAAATCTGGATTGGAGGGAGAATAGCCATTCTCAACTGGCGAAATAATGAAGTTCCCTTGTCCTTATTTTGTGTAAGCAAAATAAATAATCTGATGTTAACTCATCCAAAACAAAAACAAAAAAACAGAGAAATTGCATGACCCTTTCTCCATGATCATCTCATGATTTAATTTAATATTTATTGAGCATCAAATTGGTCCAGACACAGTGCCAGACCCTGGAGATATATACAATTTATATACCTTCAAGGTATTTAGATAGAAACTTTAGGCTGAAAAACTTGAAAAGACTAATCAAGTAAGCTCCTTCTAAGCCATCTTTCATATACAGAACATATTTTAAAGATTCTGTGTCTGAAATGTGCAGTTCTTTGGAAGAAATGGGAACAGAAGGGAATCAAATGCTTAAGTATCACTTAAAACATTAGATAAGATAATATAAACGGCAAGTCTATGCAGCTCAATCCCAGAAGAACCACACGCTTCCCCAGTTTTCTAGTTCAAGTACTGAACATTTTCTGAGTAGACAGCCCTATCTCAGCTAAAGCCTGCATCAGCGGTTTTGAGGGTGAGGTCAAGGCAGTGGGATCATGGGGACATTATCTGCATGCTGAGCAGACAGCCCAAAAGCTGAGGTTTACCTTTTCAGTTTTCTTACTTGCCACCAGTCAGGGCAGTCTTCCCTTGGAATATATCGCATGTTGACATTTGGCTGGGAACTGAAGTTTTTCTTTGCATCAACGTCATATTGAGGTAGAGTAATACTTGAAGATGGTGCATCCATTTTGAGAATAGGAACTGCCCGAGGAATCTTTAGCTTTGAAGAACAGGAGATTTTACTACATCGTGGTGAGGCACAGATTCAGGAACTAGGAACTAACAACTAAAGTATATCAGCTCTTAAATTAGAAGGAAAGAGGGGAGGAAGGGAGGAAGGAAGAGGGGCATAGTAAGTATTGTTAAGGATAAGGAGCGACCGTAACGTATACTTTTGCTGGTTGGAATATAAAATGGTAAAAACACATTGGAAACTTATTTGCTGAATGCACTAAAGATGGAGATGCATATACTCTATGACCCAGAAATTATGGGCGTGCACACACACACATGCACATATACTCTATGATCCAGAAATTATACACACACAGTCACACTCTATGAACCAGAGATTACACACACACACACACACACACACACACACTCACACACACATATATAATAGTGAAACAGAAAGATGTGGAAAACAACATTCATAGCAGAATATTTTGAATTAGATAAAAATTGGAAATTACTGAAGTGCTCATTAAAAGGATAAAATAGTAAATACACTGGTTGCAGTAGATTAAGTAATAGCTCTCCAATATGATCATGTCCTAATTCCCAGATGCTGTGATTATCTTACATAATACAAAGGACTTTGAAGATTGTGATTAAGGAATTTGAGGTGGAGACATTATTCTGGATTATAGATATGGGACTGATGGTCATCAAAGGGACCCTTTTAAAAGGGAAGATGGTCAGGGATTAGAGAGAAGATATGAGCAGAGGTCAAAGAACATAGAGGCTACAACCCTTTTGACTCTTAAGATGAAGGGAGAAACCAGGAACCAAAGAATATAGATAACCTTCAAAAACTGGAAAAGGCAAGAAAATAGATCCTCTCCTAAAGTCTCCAGAATGAATACAGCTCTGTGGAACCATTTTAGACTTTTGACCTTCAGAACTATAAGATAAAAAATTTGTGTTGTTTTTAGCCACTGAATTTGTGGTAATTTCTTAGAGCAGCAATAACGAAATAATATAGTGGCATAGTCATACAATGGAATTCTATAAGCAGTAAGAATAAACTACAACCATACACTAAAACAATGTGAATCTCATAACTTGAACAAAAGACAGACAACAAATGACTATATACTTTATGATTCTACTTATGTAAAGGTCAAAACCAGGCAAATAATCTATGATATTGAGAGTTAGGCGAGCAATTACTCTTGATGGACTATAGTGACTGGAAGGGAACATACGGTTCTATGATGTTGTTTTTCTTAATCTGAATATGTTTTATACAGATGTGTTCAGTTTGTGAAAATTCATCAAGCGGAACATTTAGGATCTGTGTGCTTTATACTTCATCAAAAATTGTGTGAGGGGCTGAGGATGTGGCTCAAGCGGTAGCGTGCTCACCTGGCATGTGCGGGGTGCTGGGTTCGATCCTCAGCACCACATAAAAATAAAATAAAGATGTTGTGTCCACCGAAAACTGAAAAATAAATATTTTTTAAAAATTGTGTGAGTGTGTGTGTATGTGTGTGTGTGTGTGTATAAGCATGTGAGCATTCATGTGTGAACTCTAAATTTAATTTTTTCAAATTTATTTTCCTTTTTTCAGGTATTTCATTTATTTGGAGTTGAGGCTTTGACATTCTGGAAATTTTTTGTTACACAGGATACTGATATATATGCTATAAAATGGGTTCTTTCTAAAGATAAATGCATTGGAAAGTTCCTTAAATAGAAATCTGAATAGAATGGCTATCAAGCTGATTTTTATTTCTACCATTCAGAAAATATGTCTTCTATTTAGTGCTTTGGTAAGAACAAAACAGAGAAAAAAATGCTTTTCACAATACCCTTTCTGAACTCTGGTTCATTTGGGCAGTTCATAATCAGAATAGGCTTAGGAACCCTTAGTCACTGATTTGCTTGGCTGATAATTTTCAACACATTTCCCAAAGAATTTCCTGCCAGAAGTGAGAAGCAATCGTTTCTAACTTCTTAATTATCTTCTGCTCTTAGATTTGTTTAAAACAAACTTCATTGGAATTCACACTTTTAAAGTGAAGAATTATGTGACTCTTACTAAATTTATCAAGTTGTATAACCATCATAATCTGTTCTTAGTATATTTCCATCACCCCATTAAAATCCCTTGTGTGCACTGACAGCCAATCTCCATTTCCACTCTGGCCTTAGTCAACCATTATTTGACCTCTGTCTGTATAGAGTTGCTGAATCTGGACATTGCTGTTGGGGGCCATGATTTTAATGTAATGATGGGGATGGAACCCAGGGTTTTGTGCATGCTAGATAAGCATTCCACCACTGAGCTACACCCCTAGCCCAAGGGTCATAATTTTTAAGCTTAAGGACTGGAGCAAGTATCCAAATCCAAACAGCAATGTTGCTGATAACAAAGTGAAAACTCCAAACCATAATAATTATTTCCTTTGGCTGCCATAACAAATCACTGCACATTTGATGGGTTAAAATAACAAAAATTATTCTTTCAGGAGCTGGGGATATAGCTCAGTTGGTAGAGAGCTTGCCTTGCATCACAAAGCCCTGGATTTAATCCTTAGCACCACACACAAAAAAGAAGATAAGACATCTGTTCTGTCATAAATATTGATAACTTTGCAAATGTGGATTGAAAATTCAAATTATTTAGATCTTCACATAGTTCTCATATAAGACCAAGAATTAGGAAGCTCATTAGGAAGCTCACTCAGATGCTACCAATACCTAATCACGATAGGACCAGCTAAGTATGAGCATCTCTTTTTCACTACATCCCCTTTGGCTTTAACCCTGAAAGGGTCAGAAAAGCCTTTCTATGACCCTTCCCCCAAAGCAAGCTGGCAGCTGATGCCAACTCAAGTTAGGTAAAGTGGTGAAGGTATAACTCAAAATAATGTTTGGAGTCATGTGATTATAACATTGGATGGGACAATTCAGAGGCTGTTCTTGTGACTACTAGCAATTAAGGCAAAACATCATCTGAGAGTGAATGAAAACTATGGAATCTGCCTAAGACTTTTTCTCGCAGCTTTGGAGGAATCACGGAGGGAAAAATGATGTTGTTTTATGCTTGTGTCACTATTCATAGGTTTACTGGTTAGGAAAAGACCTAGTAGTTAATACAACAATATAAAATGTTACAATGGTTCTATTTGAATCCATTTTGATACCACCCACAGGTAGTAGTGATTGCTCACATTTTTCCTCTCTTTGTTAAGTGATCTGCATGAAGTCTACATTTTCTGGTCTTGAATCTGGCAACTCTTCATTCATTTAATATATCTTGACAATGAAAAACATTAAAACAAACAAACAAACAACAACAACAAAAAAAAAAAAAAAACAAAACATTGACTTACCACCCTTTCTGGGAAAAAGGGAGCTCTGTGTTTCTCTTCATTGACAGCAATGTGCAGATCAGCATCTGAAATGTAAAACCAAGTATTATCAGAAGGAATGTGAAATAAAACAAAAACAAAACAAGAGAATGTTAAAAACTAATGGGCTCTTAACTAACTAATGTTAAGAACTAGTTGTAGCTCAGTGGTAGAGTGCTTGCTTGGCATGCGTGAGGCCCTGGGTTCCATGCTCAGCACCACATATAAATAAATAAATAAAATAAAAGATCCATTGACAACTAAAAAATATTAAAAAAAAAAAAAGAATTAAGAGAAGGAGCCGGGCGCAGTGGCACACGCCTGTAATCCCAGTGGCTCAGGAGGCTGAGACTGAAGGATCAAGAGTTCAAAGCCAGCCTCAGCAAATACAGGCGCTAAGCAACTCAGTGAGACCTTGTCTGAATAAAATACAAAATAGGGCTGGGGATGGGGCTCAGTGGCTGAGCGCCGCTGAGTTCAATCCCTGCTACCAAAAACATAAATAAATAAATAAATAAATAATTTTAAAAAAGAATTAAGAGAATGAAACAGATTGTATGAACAATACTCCAGACTCACTAAATTCAAACACAACATCTGGAATAATTCTGTAGCTTTCCTGTATGATGCCCAACTCAAATACCACTCCTCTATCATCAATTATTAATAACTTTGCAAATGTGGATTGAAAATTCAAGTTCCTCTAAATCCTATAAACTATTAATTTATACCTCATATCTATCCTATATTTTAGTCACAGATATCTAATCTGGTTAGGTAGTACATATGAGCCTAGGGGTCAGTATTTCTGTCTGATTCCTCTTTGATTGGCTCATACAAGATATTTTAATAATTATTGAAGATGAATAAATAATTCATGATACATAAATAAATTATTACATGTTTTCTGTTCTTATGATATTTGTTGATTTCTTTTCCACCCTTACATGGAAATAGATGCCCAATCTGTGAGAATGAAACCACTGTATGCGTTATCAGTGGAGCGATTATATGGTTTATTACCCAATCTGAATCATATGCCTTTAATAATTAGGCCAAATTGCCAGGCACCAAGTAAGAAGTCTTGAACAATGTGAGGTTTCGTGGCAAAGTGTTCCAGAATCTAGAAATTTGGTCCTAATGGGGGGGAGCCATCCACCCAGGGTTTAGTCCAACAAGGGGTCATGCATTACATGCTTCCCAGAGGGTACATCCTGGGGCCGCTTTGCAACTCTGCTGGCAGCACAGGAACTTCCCATCCACGAAGAACCCACTGTGGTACTTGATCAGCAGGTGGGGGTTGCCCCTTATCTCTGAGGAGCAGGTAGAAAGGAAACAAGATGTGAGCAGATGTTGGCCCAAGAGGAGAAACACAGCCAGCAAGCACTGTCATTGCAGAACAATAAAAACTCCATTTGCCAATAACTGAGGTAAGAGCCAGTGGTTCCTGAAGGATATGTCTTTCATTCAGAAGTTAATAAACCACAAAGAAAAAAGTTTAGCTATGTGCATAGTGAGAACAACACAATAACATATCATTCTTTAAAAAACACTAGTACAAATGCATATACAAATCAGCTTGCTGTTGAATTTTAGAAATTCATCCATAGATCTAGTATAGAAGGACTAGATCTTAACAAGGAGACAAAAATTCTTATAGCTTACACTTCCCTTCACTTTTTATTTTGAAAACACTCAAATGTACAGAAAAGTTATAATAGTATAATAAACATTCATGTACCTTTAACAGATATTCACCAATTATTAATTAAACATTTTTCTTTTTCTTTCTTTCTATACATATCATTATTTTTAAAATTTTTATCATTATTAAATTTTGCTTAATAATTTGAGAGTGACTAGCATATATTATGACCTAAATAATGTCAACCATAGATTCTTCAATGTGTAACTTTTATTAACAAGGGCATTCTGGGGCTGAGGTTATGGCTCAGTGGTAGAGCACTTGCCTAGCATGCATGAGCCACTGGGTTCCATCCTCACACCACATAAAAATAAATAAATGAAATGAAGGTAGAGTGAAATGAAGGTATTGTGTCCATCTACAACTAAAAAATATATATATTAAAAAGAGGGTGTTCTCTCTTATATAACCATAATACAATCATCACATTCAGGAAATCTAGTAGTGATAAAATATTACTAATAATATGAATTTCACATTTAAACATTTTTCTGACTGTTCCAATTATGTCCTTTATAGTCACTTACTTTTTCTGATCAAGGATCCACTCCAGAGTCAATGTGACATTTAGTTATCTAGTTGCCCTTGACATAGAATGGTTTCTTATCCTTTGTCTTTCATGACTTTGACATGTTTAATGAATGGCTTATGGAATAGGTACATATTAGGAAAACATCAATATTTAATCCAAAGAATTTAATTTCTAATCTTGGTGTATAATACTAAATCTATAACAATTTAGCCTCTTTTGAAATACAACAGAGAAGCTTACAAGGTCTTAACAGAGATTAGTTTAAGAAGCACTGCTAGGTGGAGGATTTCTTATTTTAATCTCAGAAGATCTGCTCCTACTTTAGAACCTACTCAAGGAAGTGTATGGAGATAATAATAATAAATATTTTGCTGAGTCACTGGGAAGATATAAGATAATGTATATAAATATTTGGCCCCCAAAATAGGTGTTCAGCTTTTGTAATCATTCGCTTAGTTTAACTCAGTTCAGTTTAGCTAAAAATGCTGGCATTGAAAAACTTCACTACTGAAAATTATTACAAAAATCACAGAAAGCAAAAGGAATAAAGACTCTAAAACACAACTTTCTGATTTTGGTTCCAAAGGATCCTTGGAATTTCTTGGGCACATTACTTGTTTTCCTGCTGTCTAAGCTCCTGGTCTCACATGTCAAGATTCCTAGGATTTCCTACTGTGTGGATTTAGATTCCTGAGTAGCTAATTCTTTTTCCAATCTAGTCCAAAAGTTTGCACTGCAACACTCCCACCACCTAATAATGACAATAAGAGGAACTTTCTATAAAAATTGAAAATACAGTAGCTACAGGATTTACACAGTCCCAGTAAGACCTGGACTTTGCCCTGGTAAAGACAAGCACAATGGGTGGAAAGCAGGTGGCTTAGCTTCCCCAGCTGCTGGCAAGACACAATAGCGAGCTCTGTGCTGAGCAGGATGGGGGGCGGGAATCTGATCCTCAGGCTTCCTGTTTGTTAACAAAGAGAATGCAAAAGGAGGATGGGTCTGGCATATTCCCTGAGGTTAGTAGGAAAATCAGTAGATTATTTCTCGGCATTGGGTCCTTTTACTGCTTTATCTTTCCTCCACCAAGCCTCAAGACAATTCAATCCATGAGTCTCCTTTATATGACATTTTTATTACCTTTTTGTAATGCTTTCAACCATTGACTGCGGCTTTCTTCATTTGATGCATAGACATAGAGAAGTCCATCTTTATAGACAATCTGGAAAGGAAAGAATGTGGTTCATTTTGATATAATATATTGTTTATTAGCTTTGGAATTAGATGGAGAAAAATCTATACTTTTTGTTTGTTTTTATCTTCCACTTTTCAATTTATTTTATCCCAGACAGTTCAAATCTTTGGAAAATCATAGAAATGATGCATCTGACAGCGGTGAGCATTGAGATCTCAGTAGGGATGCCCTGGACCGTGGAGAATTATGTTAGACATTGCATGTGTCTTACAAGGGTTCTGGCCCATCCATTTGCCCATTGATCAATTCCTTTTACAGCCCATTGAAAACCAACTGCTTTATCCTTAAAAATATGTCTAAGGATGGAATATTCTTTATTTTTTTCAGGTCATCTGTCGGTCTTCATATATTCCGATCATTTTACAGTTCATCTTTACATTGAATAAAACTATGTCTACTTGTTACTTTAGTCTTGCTTTGTATGGCACCCTGGAAATCTCCAGAATAAATATTATTTTGTTTGTTTGTTTCTAAAGAAATTTGTTTAAATGTTTGAGATTATAATGTTTTCTCAAGATCCCCCTCTACTTTATTCTATTCTGATAATAATGTTTAATAAATTTATTAAACACCTACTAGTTTCTGGGCTCTTTCCTAGGTACTCTAATATTTTAATCCTATTTCGATTCTATGAAAAATATATGAGTATGCCTTTTTGTTAACAAATGAGAAAACATACTCAGAGAAAAGTTGAGTATGTGCTTATAACTATACACCTGGTAGGATTAGGAGCTCTGCAGGATTCCAAAGTCTGTGTGCCTTTGAATACCCTATGCTTCTGTGATGTGAATTTGTAGCCTCTTCCTTGAGCATACTCTTCCCTGGTTTCTCCCAATTCGGTAATGTAGTTATACTTGGAAATATGGGTTGTTGATCAACTGTATTATTGTACTTCATTTCTGACTACAGGTCCCCAATACTAGCACTGGATAATCTGGCCATCTGAAAGACAACCCATCCAGGGCTGGGATTGTAGCTCAGTGGCTGAGCGCTTGCCTTGTATGCATGAGGCACTGGATTAGATCCTCAGCACCACATAAAATAAATAAATAAAACAAAGATATTGTGTCCATCTACAACTAAAAGAAAAATGTTTAAAAAAAAAAAAAGAAAGAAAGAAAGACAACCCATCTGTCTAAATCAGAAAGAAGTGTTGATTATATAATAAAAGTAGGGCATGACTTAAATCAAGCCACTTCCAAAAGGTACTGAAAGGATACTCTCTGTAGCATACCATACTTCAAGGTAAAATTAAAATTTCTTAGAATGATGTGCAAAGTCCTTCATGATTCTGCCCTGTCCACCTCTCCTGGATCATCTCTGTCTCTCTCATGAGGCTTCTTTTTCAGAGTGACTCCTATCTCACACATCAGTGCCTTGACACTCCTGTTCTTTTGTTCTGCTGCCTTTTCTTTCTGTGCTGGCTTAAACACTTATTTGTCCTTCCTAATCTGACATCTTGGCGTGAGGAGCAAAGCTAGCTTCCGCTTCCTGGAGCACAGTGGATATACTATGCTGACCTCCATCTTACCACTTGTTTGTTAGTCTATTTTGCTATGTCCTTGTAAATTACCTTGGGGCAGGGTGAATATTTTATTCTGTATAATGTTTCTATTACCTGGAACCCAGCAGAGACACTCAGCAATGATTGATAGCAGAAATTGTCAGAGCTGAGACAGATCAGGCCATTGCAGTTTATACTCTCATCTTGCTTCCCTTCCCTCCAAGGGATGCAGATTGGTAGACAGAATTTTAGCAAAATGTGCAACTCCCATTCAGGAATATTCCAAGTCATCATTCTCTTAACAGATCATTTTGCAATATTATTATTTTGCCTAGATATACTGAGTTCATGATAGAAAATGTCAAAGTGAAGAATCAACTACTCGAGGTGATGTTGTGCCTTGTTTTACCTGAAATGGGTACTGTCTCTCCACAGGTGTCTGCTCCTCGAGATTGACTTTCTCCACACACCTGATTTTCTTAATTTCAATTGATCCTTTTCTACTTCCTCTTTTCTGAATTAAAACACAAAATATTAGATTTCTCATGTGCTAACGCCATGGTACATAAAGAAAAGCATAAAACTAAAGTTATGATAGGGAGAGAGATTTGGAGATGGTATGATCAAAGGAGAATCACTTCCCTTTCTCTAGAGTACTCAAATGTAAACACACACATACTCCAAAAGCAAGTGTTTAAGCACTAGTTAAATTTTGTTTGAGAATCATAAAATGGGTTCAACCCCCCAGTTCCAAAAAAAAAAGAGAGAATCATAGAATGTGTTTCAAATCACCTGCCATGTGGCTAATATACTCAGGAAAATCAAGAAATTCAATTCCCCAAAGCTTCTTCACTTCATTTCAATTTTATGACAGTATTTAGTGTATTTTTACAAAGTTAAAATTCTCACCTGTACAGAGATATTTGTTTATCCAGTGATGTTTCAAAGCTGCATTTCTGATCCTCAACACTATTAATATTTGGGGCTGGTGAGATCTTTGCTATGGGGTCTGTCCTGCGTATTGTAGGATATTTATTTATTTATTTTTTATTTTTATTTTTTTATCTTTATTTTATTTTTATGTGGTGCTGAGAATCGAACCCAGTGCCTCACGCATGCCAGGCGAGCACTCTACCACTTGAGCCACATCCCCAACCATTGTAGGATATTTAGTAGCATCCTGTAATTTACTCACTGGATGCCAGTAGTACTTGCCCCATAACTAGTTGTGACAACTGGAAATGTCTCCAGTAGTTACCCAGTGTTCCCTGGGAAGCAAAAATGCCTTCAGTTGAGAACTACTATTCTAAAGTCATCTTTTTTTGTTGTTGTTTTGTTTTTTGGTACCAGAGATTGAACCCAGGGGCTTTAACCATTGAGCCACATCTCCACATCCACAGCCCTTTTTATTTTGAGACAGGGTCTTGCTAAGTTGCTCAGGCTGGCTTTGAACTTGTGATCCTCCTGCCTCAGCCTCCCAAGTTACTAGCATTACAGGTATGCCCCACCACACGGAGCTTATAAAGTCAAAATTTGCTTTGGTAAAGTTAAACAACATGTACAAAGTAAAAACACTCTTACTTTTTATCCCAAAATAAAAAAAAAAAAATTAAACCCTTCATTTTGAATTCATCACACTTTGGTTAAGGAAGGGCAGTGTAATCAGTGGATGCCAGTTGATCTTTACTGCAAAAGCTAAGAAACCTGATATTCTTTCACTGTAATCAAGTACTTTGTGGAGACTTAGGAAAAATAATAAACAGTATAAAAACAATGGAATAGAGTCTCACCATTTTGTCATATTCATAGTAAGAAAGGTTTGTTTTAGTCAAAACAAAAAGCCGCTCTTTGTAATTATTTGGTGACATTTTCTTCTTTTGCTGTGACCTTTTGAGAAGAAGTTCTTCTAGAATGGATTTTGAATCCATGTTATCGTCCTAAATAAAATAAAATAATTTGAATGAGTGTAGCCTCTAGCCAGGTTCTCTTTTAGCCTTCCTATATTTTACTCAACTATTTCTCATTTAGGACTAATCTATATGCTAATTTAAAAAAATAAGATTATAAATAACTACACACATACCTACAGCTTTTTCTACTGCCTTTGTTCTGAATTTTATAAATATGCTGATATTTTTAAACTTTATTTATTTTTTCTTATGTGGTACTGAAGATCAAATCCAGTGCCTTGCGCGTATTAGGCAAGCGCTCTACCACTGAGCCACAACTCCAACCCAAATATGTTGATTTTTAAAAGCATTTTGTGAATTGAATAATGAACTCATTTCCCAGTCAGTCTGCACCATAAATTCACTATCTTTACACCACCCTCTAGACCACCTTATCACAATGTTCTTTATTCCTTAAGCATTCCTTAGGTGTTTGATGAATTGAATAGGATATAATAAAACTTTCAAAAAATTGCAGCTCAGAGAGTTCACCATATATGAATTAATTGATCAACTGAAATTTCCCTCCATTTATGTGGCTACTGGTTTGTGAGAGAAATATCATGGCCGGTGACATTGTAATGGTCAGATCTTCAACAAAAAGGATATGGGTATAATTTTAAATATTTCAGAGATTTTAAAATCAAAGTGACTCCTCAAGATAGAATAAAAGGAAGAAAATACTTGGAAATTCAACACAATTTGTATCAAAAGAGATTTAAAAGACCTAAAAAAAATCAGTACATTTACAGAGTAAAAACACTTTTGCTTTTCTATCAGAAGCATGTAAAGCATTGAGTAAGGTATTTTTGAAAAATAAATTCAAAGACTGTTGTAACTTCAGTCTGATTTCAAATCTGATCATGAAAAAGACCGATGTTGGGCAGTAAGCCACAGGAGATAAACTTTCTTTTGTTCTTTGCCTTCTCAAACTACATCATTGTTTATAGTTAGATGTCTACTAGTTAAGATCTTTGTTTGATGATTTGAGATAATTTACTTACCTCAAACTCCTTAGAGCGAAGTCTACACGGGTCCCTACGTTTAACTCTCAAGCTCTAAGCAAAAGTTAGTGTTCCCAGCCACCATCACTCATATTTCCTCTGGCTATGCCAGGGTTGGGCTTTAAAAAGAAGATATTTGCATCCTATTTATCACTCTTGATCAGGAAGCACCCACACAGGCATTGCTCTGTCTCACTGGAGGCAGGTGCCAGGTAAATCCATCCAATCAATTCTCACTGGCTCAGGACTACGAGGAGCCCACTATGGCCAGAAATGAAAAGAAAAGGAGACTAAGAAAGATAGCCAGATGTTGTATAAACCACCATCGGTCCAAGCCACCTTTCCTCCTGACATACACTATGCAACTCTGAAAGAGGGAATTTGGAAAACCAGCTTTTATTATTGATTTGCCTTTATTATTTACTTAAAAACAGCACTCTGGACAGCTCACAGGAGAGCTATTTATTATTAATAATGAGGAGACTATTTATTAATCCCTAAAATGGCCTCCATGGGCTTTGCTTGACTTATGGACAGAAGTAGTGAAAATCTTATTCATTAAAAATAATAACTTTTTGCTTTGGATATTGTTTCACTGAGTTTTAAAATAGGATAATTCTTTTGCAGAGGTAGAAAAGTGGAGTGGATTCTCTTGAACACAGTGGGTGTTGTCCTCAGTGGTCACTGGTTTCTTTGCTTGGAGCTAGGAGACAGGGCAGAGATCAGGGTGGAGCAGAGCTGGCAGGATCTACAGAGGCAGATGTCACACCATCCTTACATCTCTGCCTTGGTTGGAAACTCTATGCATATGCCTGCCTAGATAAGCTTTTCTTTTTTTGAGGTGGGGGGGTACTTGGAATTGAACTCAGCTGCACTCGACCACTGAGCCACATCCCCAGCCCTATTTTGTATTTTATTTAGAGACAGGGTCTCACTGAGTCACTTAGTGCCTCACCATTGCTGAGGCTGGCTTTAAGCTTGCGATCCTGAGCCACAGGGATTATAGGCGTGTACCACCTCGTCCAGTTTAAATTTATTTTTTACATCCAAAATGTATAGCTAGCTGAGAATCTGCTTGAAATTCACAGAAACCATGCAGGTATACTTTTTGTGAGATGTAGACCCCTTTGGGGGAGCCAAACACTAGACAGAGCTTCAGGGCACACTTGCATTTCTATATTTAAAATTTTTACTAATAAAGCAGAAAGAGAAAAGTATAAAAACTTTTGCCAAATCTCTTTTATGCCTACAGTTAAATATTACTCTTTAAAGAAGAGTGCTAATTAAATAGATCTGGTTGGTTGAACAGAAAGTTTGCTTTTTAGAATTTTTTCAGGTGCTGAATAAATTCATGACATTAAGGACACTTTACAAAATGCAAAACCCAAAGTCCCAGCTGTTCATGATGATATACACACTTTTCTATGTATGGAACTTTCATATGCATCACATTTAAAATGTTTTTTTTTTTTTCAAAATTTTATATAAAAATTAATGAGTTGCTGGGCTGGGGAGGTAGCTCAGTGGTAGAGTGCTTGTCTCGCATGCACAAGGCCCAGGGTTCAATCCTCAGCACCGCAAAACAAACAAATAAATAAATAATGAGTTGCAGAAACCACTGACACATCCACAAATTTTCCTATGTCTATTGAAGAGAAGAAGAATATTGAGTAGAAATGAAGAAAGGTATGAAGCCCTCAAGATTCTTCAATAAATCACCCAGGATTTACAAGGCTTGTTGCATCTGACAAAATAAAATTTGTCTAATTTCAACATAATTGTTCATTTCAAAATCTTGCCCATTGTGAATTTTTTTCTTTCATTTCTAAAATTATAGTGGTATAGGTTTATTCTACAAAACCAAGAACTACAAGTAGGTGAAAGAATGTAAGTTTAGATTCTTTTTTTTTTTTCAAATATACACAGGCACATGCTTATTTTTACAAAGATGGGGGTCACATCTCGTGCATGTGGGTCTGCGATATGCTATTGTTATGAAACAAACACCTGGAGCCACATGTCTTTGAAGTTCTATCTCAGAGAGCCAGTCCCTCAGAACTCTCCTCCCCAAGGTGGACTCCAAGGCTTCCTTAACCAACTTCAAAGCCCTGTTTTGATGATGCATGCTTTTGTCATCTCCTGATGAGTTTCTTCAAAGACAAGCTTTGTGGTTCCAACGCAGGCTTACACCCACTGTTCCCCTTCTATTTGCTCTGTCTCTATTTTCCCCTTTCTGCTCTAAATAGTCTAGATTTTAAATTAAAGGCATTTCTATGGTCTCACTTGATAAAGGGGTGATAATTGGTGATGACTGATTTTTAGAAATGTAATGACTTCTTCCTTGTATTAGGACGATAAATAAACAAGGCTCAGGTACCACTGTTGGTTGATTCAAATGCCTGTCCAACACCTGGCAAACCCTTCTCTGTTCAGCCTTTCCCCACCCCCACCCCTTATTAAAGGGAAATTCAGTTGAGAAGGTGAAAGAAAAACTTTTCAAAATATAATGAGATCCTACACCTAGTTAGCATTAAACAGAAATCTATTTCCATAGAGGAGCAGGTGGGATTTGGCTGGACTTTCATTACCTCCCATGTAGAATAGAAATACTGATTTGCTTACCAAATAGCCCAGGCTGCCTATTTCCATAAGCACATAAAACTAGAGAGATATTAAAACATAGGGAAGAAAAAAAAAACACTAGCTGAAATCAATACAGTATTTTCTACAAAGAAGCCAGTAAGCATTATGTAACCTATTACATACACAAAAGGCACATATTGAATTAACAGGACTGTAATCACTATGATTATTTAGGGTTTTTAAGGAAAGAATATTATGAGAGTAAGAAGTTCACATTTTGAAAGTCAATAAGAACATGCAACCTTAAAGATTGAAATAAATTTTAAGTGGTACCGAAGAGGTGTAGGAGGCACCCAAGGAGGGGGGAAAGATCTATGTGTTTAAATAGAGCTATTGAACCAAAAAGTCTTTTCCCTGACTGGCTCATGATTCTGCCTTACAGCTTTCTTCTTCAGGAATGAGAGATGAGGACAGAAATTCCTTGTCCTTTTACTTGGTTCAGTTATATTCTTTTTATTTTACATGTCATTTTTAGCTAATGATTTTGATTACTGTCAAGTAGTTCAACAATACATATGTTGAGAAGGCAGTAGAGGAGGGAGTATGAGAAGGAGGAGGAAGATTCTTCAAGAGGGGACTGGGCAGGGTCTGAAAGGGAAATCTGAGGACTCAGTGACAAACTTAATCTTCAAATATTTGCCCAAAGCCAGACCTGCTTATCTTCATGCTAAATAACTAAACAGAGTACAATGGCAAGTCTCAACAGGATCAAGAAGCTTAACTCAGAATCAGGTGGCAGGCAGTGGTTTAAGAAGTCTTACTATTACTATGCTGGTCAAAACCAAATACCAGCTCCTCAAAACCTGACAAATTCCTATTTCACATGCAGGACAGAGAAAATTGGAGTTGATCTTGGCATAGTATGACAGACAGAAACTCTAACATGGACACTCAACTCCTCAGTATTTTGGAACACCATACATTAATTACTCTGAAAGGAATTTATGAAAAACCAGACATTTGGGGAGGACTATTTTCTCACAAAGAAAACAAAAATTTCAATGCTATTCCTGTTGGACTAAAATTTGCTTTGAGTGTGCAATTCATGTTCAGCACTTTCTAGAGCTTTTGTAAGCCCTTTCTTCTTCTTTGCAGCAACCACTTTTCTTTTGTTACCTCCCCTCTGCCCAAGGCACTCTTTTGGAGCACTTCCCTTAAGAGCAAAACAAAAAGTGATCAATCCATGAGCTAAACAAGCTGGATTAGTTTACCACGTAATGCTGCTTAGATTGAGGTGGGTGAAAGCATCAGGTTTCGGTTCATTTGTATCCTTGCTGTTTCTATGTAACCCCATGTGTTACTTCACCCTGCCAAACCTCAGCTTCCCCATCTGTAAAGGGAGTAAAAACAATAGCCACCTTGAAGGGTTATGAGGAGTCAAGAGAAAGTGGTAGTAACAATGCCCAGCACCCTAGTAGATGTTCTGGAAAGATACCCCTTCACCTTCCCACTCCCTAGGCAAAATTTAAAAGTAGACCATAGTAAAGTTAAAATACTGAAGACAATGAAAGGAACCCCGAAGATCAAATTTCACTTTTCATCCCCCTGCCTCCAACTGCTAGGCATAGGAGTTAATGGGAGGCAGAAAGATCTCCTCTTGAATACTCAAGTCAAAAAAAAAAAAAAAAAAAAGCAAAGCAACTGCTCTGTAGATTTGTTTCAGACTTCCCATCCTGGCACTCATTACCTTAAAATCAGGTTGAACCAGTCCCTTTTTGGTGGTGTATTGTACCATCATATTTCTTACAAATGAAAACTTGGAAGTTACTCAAAGTGTGGTCGGTCTGTAGGCTAACAACATTGGCACCACTTGGGAGTTAATTAGAAATGCAGACTCTCAGGTCCCACACCAGACTTAGTGCATCTGAATCTGCATTTTAGCAAGATCCCAGTGATCCATGTGCATAGAGCTTGAGAAATGGTGATGTAGAGCACGAAGTATTTGTACTATTTTTAAAAATCCAATGAGATGATCATGGTCCACAAGAACTTTGAGTGTAACTATATACTTAACCTTCTCATCTTTCTATGTCTGTCTAAAATACCACCAAGTCTCTGATTTAGGGAAACTTCGGGAAACTAAGAACCAATATTTATAGCTAAATTAACATCATGAAAGTATAAAGAAAAGAAGATATAAGTGAAAATTCTGTCTTTTTGAAAGCAGTTACAAAGTCAATATAAAAAGCAGTTAGCAGAGGAAATAGCACAATTTGATAGCTTTTGATGAGATTTTGAGCAAGCAGTAAATTCACAATAGCAGTCTAAGCCTCTGGTTCCCAAATTACACCTTCCAAAGTGCCAGGGGAAGCACCAACAATTTCATATTCATAATTTGGTATTACTTTTTCCTATAATTTCAAGCCCCATGACACCTGGATCTGAATCTATTTTCTTGTAGGATGTGACAGTGCATAGCTACCTGCCACTAAAACGCACCATTTTGGCTTGTTTGGTCGCCTGGGTCCACTGTGGTGAAGTTAATCTGCTCTCCCAGGAACACAGCTGAGGCTGTCCTCTTCCCAGTAGCAGCAAATCGGCTCACATTTTCTTGGCTGCTGGGTCAGAAATGGCTACATTACTCAGTGCCCCCCAAACGTTTATTGTCCTGCAGGGCCTTACACAATCCTACAGGAAACCACGCTCAACACTTAGCCAACACTTGTTGATCTGATTGAATGCAACAAAAACGGAGACAAAAGCATATTTCATAAAGGTTCCAACTTTGATAACTACAGCTCCTGCTTTTCCCAGGCAGCACTCGGGTACATGCGATAACCCTGCCTTTGTTTAGAGAACTCTGTGCTGGAAAGAACAAGAAAATCTCTCAGCAAAACAGGACTGCTGACGCTGACTTCTCTCACAGGACTTGGTCAGGAAACCATTAGGTAATGCCAAAGGGCACAGAGAATAAGCAATGAAAACTTCAACTCAACACTTGGACAAAGGGAGCCTGCAAAAGGCAAAAGAATAGTTCCTAGGACCAAAAAGGAGCACACTTCCATAGTTGCAATTATTAAGAATCTAGAAACAGAAAGGAGTTCAGTACAATGCACCAAGATTACAATGAAAAGGTGTGATTGTTACTTTATATCTTGACAATATCACCATGTTGTTACTTTATATCTTGACAATATCACCATGTTTGGCTTTACACGTTCTGTTAGGTAGTAGCAACCAATGAGCAGTGAAATGGAGGCAAGGTCACAAGTGTTCTTTAAATTACTTTAGGATCTTCTTTAAGTGACTTCCAAAATAGATGAGAAAGCAAAGGGTGGTAGTTAATTTCTAAAAAAGAAACAGTAGCAAGGGAGCTATTTGTAAAACTCATCAAGAGAAAAGAATTAATGGGACTAACTCTTGACAGGATACACTAAGGTTGATGTAAAGCTAGGAATTATGGCTATAAGTGTCTCCAATTGTCTGGGAAGGAAGATTCCTTTAACAGTAAAGGTGTACTAAGATAACTTCTGACCAGCTATTGCCCCCTGTGCCCACATTAACATGAGGTTGACTTGGAGATGAAGCCCCCCTAAATAGCATGGCCATCATGACAGTTCTGGAGAGGACCAACTAAGGTCAAAAACTCCACCATCCAATGTGAAGTAGGAGTTGAACACCTGATTGGCAAAGAGTACAGAAGGTGTTGCCAGTTCCCCTGGTAAACATCAAACAGTAATGAATTTGTAGATAGCATTGTCTCCTTGCTGTTCTCTGCTCAGAGATGGCTCACTCTCTCTGGAGAGTGTTCTCTGCTTAAGCCTCACTTTGCTTTTACCTTATTTTCTAGACTAAAATAAAGTTCTCTTGCATGACTTTTGGAGTCAGACTTTAAATTTTATTTCATCAGAACACAAGAACCGAGATTTGAAGTTTCAGCTTCCTGCTTTACTGTGACAGTTCCACCGTTTTCTCTGGTGCACACTGGCTGGTCACATATAATAAATCTAATGACATGTTTTAGACTCTGCTATGGATACCCAAGAAAATCAATCATTCTTTTGGCATGCATTGACACACTGTATTAACATAAATTTTTGAATGCTTTAACTTACTCATAAGCATCTATGATGTGATAAAGTTTTGGAGGAAAGCAAAACTATTGACTTTCAAAGAGGTATTTTTATATATATACCAGGGGTGCTTTACCACTGGGCTTCATCCTCAATCTTTTTTTTAATTTTTGTACTTTGAGACAGGGTTTCGCTAAATTGCCAAGGCTGGCCTTAACCTTGAGATCATCCTGCTTTAGCCTCCCAATTTGCTGGGATTACAGGCATATACCGGCACACTTGGTGTCAAAGAGGTATTCTTTTGGGTGGACAAAGAAATAGCATAATTTCTATTCATTCAGTCAAATCTTACTGAAAGACAACAGCAGTCAACAGAACAGAGGCAGCCCACATTTCCGGGGGGCTTATGTCTAGTGGGGGAGGAGCACAAATCACAGTTTAATTCCAGTAGAGTGTGAAAAAGAACTTGCAGAGACATTTTTAATATTTCTGTTTGGGAACTGGAATTTGTGAGAGGGCAAAGAGTCCTTCAGAAAATTAAAGAGTGTAGATTATACTTTGATAGCAAATAAAAGTCACTGATGAATTCCAAATAGCTCTCCATCCTCTAAGGATAAAGTTTGCAGTCATTGATATCTTGGGAGCAAAGCAGAGTAATGATAGCATAACAACCTGGTAAAGTAAGTTCTACCTTCTGCCAATTAACTTTTTTTTTTCCATATGGTGCTTTGTATTTATGCCACTGCTTATTACATATGATAACACGGTAAAAGATGGATTTTAGAATAAAAAGTAAATTTAAGGAGGCAAAGGAAGAGGTGGTATAACTGTGGAAACTTGTGGGCACAATCTCTTGGAATTTCCATCCCTTCTCGGGGCTTAAAACACTCAAAGGCAGCTGGGAGGAGTGGTTTCCTCCAAGTCAAAATGTCATAGATTTATTTAGTTCTTCTATTCATTCACTTCCTCTGCTATTTCTCCTGAGTCTTGCATTAACTCTGCATTTTCCATATCTTCAGTTAAATCCTAATTTTTGACAACTTGCTATTTCAATTACATGATTTAATTTGCTCAAACTGCCACGTCACCTTCACCCAGTTGAGGCCCTTAGGATTTTACCCTAAAGCTTGTTCCTGTAAACCTTTAGCAGGAAGTACAGCTAAAAGGACACAACATTGGCTCATTTGACTTTACAACATAAATAAGCTTCTTCACTTGTGCTTACATTTTTTAGAATAAGACACATTCCTTTGGCTTATGGGTTTAAACATTACTTATATGCGTATGATTCCAAATTTTAGCCAAGATTTCCGCCTCCCCGCCCCGCTTCATTCTAGAGTCACATTTCACTGTCAAATTGTACATTTATGCTAGAAATACCTAATAGATGTATCAGATTTAATATGCCCAAAACAGACCTACTGATTAACCCCTTAAACTAGCCCCTTCCACAGTCTCCCCCTTCTCAGCAAATAGCAACTCTATCCTTCCAGTTGCTCATGCTAAAGAAAGCACGATCATCCTTGTTTTGTTTTGTTTTAGCATTCCCATACACCTCAGCATTCAATCATTACTGAAATAAGGTTAGCTCTATCTTCTAAATGTGTCCCAAATTTGGCCGCTTTTCAATACCTCTACTGCTACCTACTGGCCAAAGTTAACATCATCCCTCACCTGGAATATTGCACTAGCCTCCAGACTCTTCTTCCTTCCTCCACTCTTGCACCCTACAGGTATTCCTCACTGAGTAGCCAGATTAAATGTATATCAAATCTTTCCCACTTCTCCAGTCTGAATTCCTCAGTATTCCTTCCTCTTCTGGTCCCTGAGTACTGTTTCTAACATCATCTCATATTATTTTCCTTCATCTTACCACTCCTGAAACTGGCCCACTTGCTGCTCCTCCTATGCTTTGAGTACCATCTGCCCCAGGGCCTGTGCATGGTCAGTATCCTGTGCTTGATCAACTGTCCCAGAAATCTGCCTGGCTCATCTCCAAGCTCTGTTTCAAATAGCTTCTTACTAATGAGCCCTGCCCATGCCACTCTGTTAGTATTATAATCTCACCCCCACCCAGCTTGCCCAACTTCCTTACTCTTCTCTATCTTTTTTCCATAATACTTATGACCTTATAGCACAATGCATAATTTACTTATTTATCACTTTTATTGTCTGTCTTTATTAAAGAGTCAGCCCACAAGGGTGCCAGCAGCTTCTTTCTGCAGCCTGAGCTTTTCCTGTGGTTATCTCTCCACAGGGGGTATCACTCCATCACTGTCTGCATTTATTCCTTTTGGTACTCTGCTTGCTCGGAGCCTGGAATCTGATGTGCACTGTTCATACTTACTGGAATTGTAGATTAATAAAGTGTCTCTCCTAAGGATGCTTGCTTCTCAAACCTTGGGTTCAGCAAACAACCTTGCTCCTGATGAAAGGAGATAGTTGAGTAAGGGATCTGAGGTACACACTAAAAGTCTTATTGTTTAATGTTGCTACAACCTTTCCTGACATCTATGAAATCTTTACATAAGCTATTGGCAGTTCATCAATGTTATTCCCAATTTTTGGTGGGAGGTAAGCATTTGGGGTCTAGATGAAGTACCATCTGTTTTGTAAATAAAACACATTGGAACAGAGCTATCATTCATTTGTACATCGAATCTGGCTGCTTTTATTCTATAATGGCAGAGTTGAGTGGTTATGACAGTGACTACACCTGAAAAGTGTCAAAAATTTACTATCTGACCTTCCCAGATTAAATTTTCTAACTCTGCTTTAGTGAATCCTGCCAGGCCTGTAATCTCAGTGGCTTGAGAGGCTGAGGCAAGAGGATCATGAATTCAAAGCCAGCCTCAGCAAAAGTGAGGCACTTAGTGACTCAGTGAGACCCTGTCTCTAAATAAAATATAAAATAGTGCTGGGGATGAGACTCAGTGGTCAAGTGCCCCTGAGTTCAATCCCTAGTATTAAAAAAAAAAAAAAATATCCTGCTGTCTGCAGAAGTGACCTAGTAGATTGGAATTCAGTTCAACAGCTCAATTTCACAGACATTGACTCAATTGTACTGTGCACAGGTGCCAGAGTTAGAGGCAAAGAAAGTGGACAAACAAGGTATCATTAAGGACTCCTTCCAGTCCTGATTCCCACTTTGATTTAAATTATTTTTTTCTTGAAATTTTATCATGAAAAAGTCTCTACATATAGAAAAGTGAAGAGGTTGAAGCATTCATACACCATCATCTAGAGTCTACGATTAACATTTTATTGTATTAGCTTTACATATAACTATTATATATAACTATTCATTCATCCCTCTAACTTATTGTTATTATTTTGGGTGTATTCAGAGTAAATCTCAGATTTAGGTATGTGTCATCCATATAGACCTCAGCAGACATGACTTCAAATTGGTTTTTATTTTAACTCCAACACTACAATCCTGAAAGCAGTCCTCATCTAATTTGGTTAGAAAAAACGACTTTACCAAGGTTGAAAACTGAGAAAGGTTATCAGAGTAATTGAGGTAAGTATCAGGGGAATCATTCAGCTAAATTTTTCTGTTTTCCTAGTTCAGAGATGAATCAGCCTTTCAGGGCCAAGAGTGATTTG